ACTCTAAAATACGAAGTACGTAAAAAGAAAAAGGTAATTCACAGATTCAATGGACGGGAATAGAAAGCTATTAGCGTGGTGCAGAGTTTCAAGGGAGAACCTTTGTCAGGAAAAGTTTGTGAGTTAAGATCATGTGACAAACACACTAAGCTGCAGGTATGGAGGAATTGTAGGTAGAAAGTGAGGCATTGTGGGTAAATGGATAGTTAGCACATTTATACAAGCCAAACTGGGAAGCTGCTTATGATACTCATCAACAAGAGAAAAAAGATCCTTCCTCTGATGTAAATAAACATAAAAGACTTTCCATCTTATCTTTTGTGCAGAGTAAACACAAACAGGTAATGTACATGATTTTCATACTATTATAAATGGATATTACCCACAACCAACACATTTACTACAACTTTGATAATGTGAAAGATTGTTTTGGCTTTCAGCAATATGTGGGAATTTTTAAGGGGGTATGTGTGAAAAAGGCTGAAAAAAGTTTTTATCTGTTACTGTCACAAAGTCCCAACGGTGCTCTCACTATCTCTCTGTGTTTTTTGTCTCCTGTGTGTGCATACATGTCAGGCATGAATGAATGAATCACGCAACAAGTATATATACAGTAGTACACGTCCTAGCTTTAAAACAGGATTTGTGATTTAAAAGAAGGGTAACAGCTACGATTAAAAACGGGTTAAGATACTCAGTCGAATACTGTACTATTATGTAATACTGTAAATGGAAGAGAAATAAAAGAGGGGTGCCAGGTAAAAGAGGGTGTTAGTGCTGTTTTATGATCAATGGGAATGAGGTTATATACAGCTCTCTTACGATCCAATCACAGATGTGCTGTGTTGTGATTTAAACTGGAGGAGGAGGGTCCGTTTGTTTCTATCAAGACACAGATGAAAAAAAAAAAAGAAGAAGACGGGAATAAATGTTTAAATATAGGATTAAAAAAAAGCTGCCCTCCTTTATCCACATAAAAATTGATTTGACTATCATCAAGTCGTATCCATTTCATGGATCCAAATTACACTTAGGATTGGTGAACTAAAATATAGCTGTAATCTGGCTAATATCACACAAAAAAGCCTGGCAATACACACATTTGTATCAGACACACTGACGCAGGCAGCCATATTGCATGTTAATCAAACTTGGTGCAATATGCTTGGGACACATTTAATCGTAGAATTATAAATACTCCATTAAATAGAAGACAATGGTTTTGCGTTAAACAATGCCGAGTGAGTAGTGTGTGTGCCGATTCACAGTGCTAGCCATTGTGACCATATTGATAGAATCTAAAAACAGAATACAGACAATAGTTGACATAAAAGATGAAACATACGATGAAGGGAGTGTGTCAAGCGTACATTTCAATAAGTGTAATAATACTCGTGATAAATTACACGCACAATACAATTTGCATACGATAGGCTAATTAGTACCAGGTCAAATTTGACAGAGGCCTGCTTTGTGTTGATGTTATTTAGAAACAACATGACTATAGCGAAATCAATATGGTATACTTTTTCTTACTCTATATTGGAATTAATTTGCGTTTGTAACAACAAAAAATGAGATAACTGTCATTTTATACTACATTATTGGTCTCAACAGGATGACAAATTCACCACTCAATACACACAATATGACTAGTTAAAAATATACTAATTAAGATAATGAAAAAAAAAGCAATCACGTCTTTTTTGTCACAAAATAATAGAATATAATAATACATACCAAGGTGTGAGTCTTGGAAACATATATACACAATTTATATTTAATTACAGCACATCCTTCATTTGAACATTTCTAGCTTCATTGCTTTTCTTCCATATACGACTTGATTGAAGTCTATTGTTCACTCACTTTGCAATCTTGTTCAGACAATACACTGTGTGTGTTTTATTTCTTAATATGGGAACCAGACAGACTGTACGTCGAGTTATTTCACCAACAAATCCAGGTATATCATGTTTATATTAATTTCCATGAATGCCCCCCCCCCCCCCCCCCGGAATGTTCAGGTGAAACAGATAAAAATACCTCTACTTTGTTTGGTCTTAATTTGATATTTTTTTTTTTTTTTTTTTTTAAATGAAATTTATCAAGAATTTGTAAAAAGGATATGCAGTATTCATAATCATGTACCATGATATGCAATGAATATCTCACGAAGAAGTGAACTCACACGATTTGCAAACATTTGAAAGCTATTTCGTTCTTTGCATGTCAATCCACCTAGTAAAGTCACAGAATGCTTGAAAACTACTAAAAATGGCCTG